TGTGTGTGTGTGTGTGTGTGTGTGTGTGTGTGTGCTTATTGCATGTGCGAGTGAGTGTGTGTGTGTGTGTGTGTGTGTGTGTGTGCGTGTTTGTGTGTGTGCATGCGTGTTTGTGTGAGCGTTTCTGCGTTTCTTCGTGAGTGATAATGAGATTTGGAGCGGACAAGAGTGTTACCTGTCTAGAGTTACAATTGGATACGATTGACGTAAAACGAGCTATACCAATATTTGTTCTGTTTCATCGTAATCAAGTGCTAATAGCCAAGTACTTATTTTATTTTTACACCCAAATTTATTGACTCTATGAAATTGTAGAGTATTATTTAGGTTGTTGTAAAGTCTAGCACTCAATGAAGGAAACTGTCTCTTGGCAAAGGTAGTACGGCAGTGTACTGCAGGACAAACTGGTCTAAGTCGTCTGGTAGGTGGGAAATCAGCTCTCGATGGGAGAGACGAATGTCGACGTAAACAGGATCGAAGGATAAATGTCTTTCTTACAGTGAGTACATTAGCGTCCACATAAAGTTGTGATGTGGGATAGATATCCCAGATAACCGTACAGACGTACGGTTTCCTGAGCATCACCTTGAGCACCGCCCTTTGCGCTCGCTCTAAATTTATACTCGTAAATGACGTTTTATAGGTACCTCCCCAAATTGGAATACAATAAGATAGGAGAGGAGTACATAGAGCCGTGTATACAGTATCTAAAATTTTTCGGTCCGCTGAATTACGTAATTTTTTAAAAACGAAGATAAGCCTACTTATTCTGCCAGCTACAGATTGCACTTAATCATATCAATTGAAGCTCTCATCCAAAAAGACACCAAGATACTTAATGCAATTGGTTCTAGTCAGGGAGGGGCAGTTACAAACAGACGACTGCCTGGTGCAGGTATGAGCACGGATTTCAATAGAGCCTTCAGCGGGATGGGCAGAGCGTCTTGTAGCCAGTGTAATAAATTGCGATTTCTCTACGTTCAGTGTAAGCAGGTTATTATTAAGCCATTCCATAACCAACCTGAATGCAGATTCTGCAGAAGCAACCGTGTCGGCCCAGCCACTCCCAGAGACGATTAATGCCGTTTCATCAGCGTAAGCAAAGATACGATATTGTGGAATAGTAAAACCGCACAATTCGTTAAGGTAAACCTGGAACAACGTAGGACCGAGAATACTCCCTTGCGGCACTCCGTACTCTATAGTTTCTTGCTGGCTAAGTAGGTGCCGATTTCTCATTCATAGATTTCTCATAGATGGCGCTACGACTAAAAAGTCGTTGAAAAACCAAATACAAAGACACGACACAAGCACATAGAAAAATTCGTGAGGTCCGTTGATTCGTTCCGTGGCTTAGTTGGTATAGCGTCTGGCACGGTATGCAAGAAAACGTCGGTTCGAATCCGACCGGATCGATGGAATTTTTTCTGAGTGTTCGATCTT